TGCAATAGGCATTTCAAATTTTCACCCCATCTCACTCTTGAATGTAGAGGGAAAAATATTTTTGAGGGTCCTTGCTTGTTGTATGATAGACTTCTTGCTAGGTAACCATTACATAAACACAGCTCTCCAGAAGGCTGGTATACCTAGCTTCCCTGGCTGTCTGGAGTATTCTTGCATGATTTGGAACTCAATCCTATCAGCCAAACAAAACAAAACTGAGCTTCATGTAATTTGGCTTAATCTCATGAATACATATGGAGCAGTTCCTCATGAGTTAATTTGAATGTCCCTTGAATTTTCCCTAGTAAGGTTGTGGAAATGATAATGAAATATTTCAAAGCAGCATTTATGCAGTTGACTGTTGGTAACTACACCACGAAGTGGCAAGCCCTTAAGGTTGGCATCATGATGGTATGTGTGATTTTACCACTTCTTTTCATTATGTCCATGGAACTCATATCATGGAGTGTAGTGGACACTGCCAAAGGGGGTGATGACTAAAGAACAAATGCTCCTTCCTTCTCCTGGAACATTCATGGATGACCTCACCGTTCTGGCCCTGTCTAAGGTCAGTGCTACCATAAGCTCTTCATGTGGGCAAGAATGAAGGCTAAGCCCAAGAAGAGCCAGAGCTTACCATTACTCAGAGGCTCTGTCAGGGAGATTCCCTTCTGCATTGGGAGTGACAAAAAAAGAGAAGCCAGTGAAGAGCCTTGGATGGATGTATGAACTTCCACTGACTGATCAGCACTGAGGTAAAGAGGTGCAAAATTTGGCACGATACCAACATGGTTTGCTGCCCCAGCTTTTGGCCATTGTAGGGGTATGATATTACTCTCTCGCATTTAGCAGATGCAGCAGTGTATCAACAAGTACTTGCAAAGTGGCTTAGAGTTCCTCCCAGCTTCTCCACAGTGGGACACTTTACCAAAGCCAGAAACCTGCAACTTCCAATCTCCTCATTGGTAGAGGAATTGAAGGTCAGGAAGGTATGCTGATGAGGGATTCGGCTGATGTGTTTGCTTACAGGTCACGGCCAAATATCAAAACTGGCAGCAAATGGTTGCCAGTAGTAGTCACCCAAGAAGCAGAATCCAGCGAAAGAGATTATAGGGGTGACTCAAAACAATCAAGCTGGATTGGGCAGCACAAGCAACCAGTTTTTCTCTAAACAAAGGGCAAATGAGACATGATGATTGAAGAAATCAAAAATTTTGGAAAAGAAATGAACAGCTACTGCTGTTTCTTAGTTCAAAGTTCTTGGATTACATGGAGTGATATTGATCCAATGAAGCTATTGTGGAATACCATGATTGAAATGGAGCCATTGGCAATATCATTCCTCCTGCAATCTCCCTATGATCCCCTACCAAATGTGACCAACCTCAAGCTGTGGGTGTACACTGACACTAATGTATGCACATCATGTCAAAGTGATCAAAGCACTTTATCTCCCATGCTCTCTGCATTCCCACAATCACTACAGATGTATACATGATGTCATAACAAAGTGCTGGAAGTGGTCATGGACAGCCTGTAACAGCTAGAGAACCTAAGATCTGTTTTCACAAGGAAGGTGAATGCCTTGTGTGAAAGACCCAAATAACTCCCAACAAGACACTACTGAGTGTAGCCCATGATTGGAAGGTGTTGATTTTAGAACACCTCTGCAATTTCCAGTACACATCATTCAGACAGACACATGCCCTAACATTGTGGCATTGTCTGATTCAAAGAAGTGTGTCCTCCTAGTAGAATTAATGATTTCATGTGAGGAGAACATTGAAGTAGGTGCACGAGCAAAAGAAAAACCGCTACGAATTGTTGTGTTCTGTGTAGAAAAGGGATGAACATGTCATGTGCTACCTATTGAAGTTGGTCGCCATGAATTCCTTGGACAGTCAATCATTTCCTTCCCTGTGAAGGTGAGTATAACTGGCTGGAACCTAAAGCGTTCTTCACATCATCTCCAGATGACAACTCAACAGATCTGGTCAAGATGCAAAATAAATAAAGTTAAATAAAACCACACTTACAACACAATTGTACTTCCGATGTGAAACACATCTGTTTACCTTCCATTCTACATCATTAATAATGGTTGCTATGAGTGTATTGTGTATTTTAAAACAATGTTGAAAACCTCAGTTGCAATTGTAAAAAGAAATCACAAGAGACTGACACTTATACAAAACAATACCCTGTCCAGTGGCAAAAGTTGCTGGTGGTGCTAGGGGTGACAGTGCTGCCTTAGCCACCAAAACTGTGTTATCTCCCCTGGTTGTCAGTTGATGAGGTCAGGGTATCACATGTGTTTTCACATATTGTATGTAGAAAATTGACCTACACTTCCTGTCAGACAATTGTAAACTTATCTCCCTTTGTTTTTCATTTATTTATTTTTAACTCTCTTGCTTGCCTATCTAGCTTAGGATTGTCTAATTCATTCTCACTATAATTTCATCATTCATTGATTTATTGTTTTATTTTCTTGAAAAACTACTTTTGTGTGTTTTGATGTCTTCTTAAAATCTATTTACTATTCTGTTTTATTATTTCATTAAGGGATAAACTTGTTAAGATCTTAAAAGATGGAAATCATTGAAATTTTCAATTGAAGCAAGTAATTTTTTATCTTTCTTTTTGCTTTTTATCACATTGCCTGATTTAGCAATCTATATACTCTAAGGATGTTAAAATAATCAGCATGTGGTTTCTAAATAAAGGATGTTTCTGATGTGATTTTAAGTAATGTATTAATGTCATCTTTAACAATTTATCCACCAAAATTTAATGGCTAAACAGATCCAGATTTACAATTTTATAAAGCTGAATCTTTTTTCTATTTCTAGCCCCATCCAATTCACAGCAATGAAATGAAAAAACTAATAAAAAAAAACTAATCAAAAAAGAATAATCAAAATAAATTATGTGAGAATTCAAATAACTTATTACTTTGTATTTTATTTAAGATCATTAATGTTGTCTCAAAACAAACTGTATATGCACATAACAGTATACCAATCAGTCAGTTAGGCACCATGCATGATACATGCTTAGGCGATCATGTATCTTTCAATATATGACTGATGAGATAGATTTTTTCCCGCAGTAGGTTTCCATTTCTTTCTGTGGTAGATCAGTTGCCATACAAGGCTACAGAACTCAGTCTGTCCTGCTATTTACCCATAGCTGGGGTGAGAAGTGGATTCATACCTTTCCCAAGGGTATTAGCACATAAGTGAATGTAATGGATTTGACAGGAATTTGAATTCGGCTCTCCGATTCCTCTATCTGAGCTGCTATCCATTACTCCACTGTGCCTCCTATATTTAAGTAAGTATATTTACATATATTAGTTGGTAGATGCATGTATGAGTATGTATATATAAAATGGTCTTCTATGGCACATTTAGTCTCTAATTTTCCAAAAATTGGGCTTTTGGAATTTTTGCATATACTTTATATATAAATTGACTTTGCTACTGAAATAATGTACATTTGTAACATGTTTTCTTTTAAATGTTTCATGGAATGTAATAAACTAGGGTCAAATGATGTCAACACTTGTAAATTCTCTAAAGCATAATTTTAAATTTGGAATGGCACTTATGTTAAATAACACTTGGTAGATAACTCTCTCTCTCATATAATATTGGGTCTTTTATTCACATGTCAAAGATTGTGTTAATTTTTTGGCTCTTGTTTATTTCATTTTTTTTTTCTATTTTGACATTCTCAATTTGAGAATAAACAAATAAAGCTAAAAAAAAAAACTTTTCCAATTAAGTCCCCCCCCCAATATTTATGACACTAAATTTATTCTGAGAAAGAAGACATTAAAAAAGAGTATTGTTATACAATTTATACTTTGCTTTTTTTCACTTAAAAAAATCAGATCACTTATCATATTTCTGTCTTGTTACTTGGTAATAAGTGAGAATATTAAGTTTGAGGATGATTTTTTTTTTTTTCATTATTATTATTATTATTGAAGGGTAAAAGTCTGTTGAGAACAAGTAGACCAATGAACTTGTTCCTACAAATGTGCTGATTGCTTCCATATGATTGAATCTTGATAAATTTGGCTATAGCAGTTATATATAATTTATTTTTTTGAGAGTTTCTATTACTTTAGGTAAATTTATGGGCAAGTGACACTCAGCCATACACAAATAATGACATACCAGTAATAAGACATTTTAACAAAATATCTCGTGGAGGGATAAAAATGTAGCAAGCAATTTTTGGTTTTCTCAAGGCCATTAGTTTAAATATAAGTAGAAATTCTTTTCATTTTCTGTGCTTATAGCTGTTTCAGCAACTTGCATTATAAGTTTTTTTTTTTTTTGTTTTTTTTATATATATATATATATATATATATATATATATATATATGTGTGTGTATATCCCACACAGGTAAAAATACAGGTAAAAGTTGAAAATACAACTGGAGTTAGAGTAACTTTATTACAGTTCTATGATTTTCAAAAGTTAAATTGAAATGGAGAGAAGTGTGCCTATGACATGATATGTCTCTCTCTCTCTCTCTCTCACACACACACACACACACACACACACACACACACACACACACACACACACACTACAATTATTTGTAACTTTTTGCTATCACTTATAGATATGCATGCAATATTATTCACTTGAATGAGTTTTTGTGAAGTCCCTGAATTTTTGTTTTTAAATCGAAAATAGATAAATTTGTAAATGAATTAGCTATTATTTAATACTGTAGATCAGTTGAGCACTTTTTTTCTATATCATTAAAACAAAGGAATTACTTACTCTTCTCTTTTTTAAATTGCAAAGATTTATTGTAAAGATGCATTGTAAAATTTTCACATGTCCTGCTAGTTTTTCACTATTTTAATCTAAAGTATAGAACTTATATTTCCTTTATTTTTAAATCCAGATTATTATTATTATTATTATTATTTATTTATTTTTCAGATCCTGATGCAATTCGTAATTTGAAAAGCATGGAGGGTTATATGGACTCCTGCCCCTCCTGCCATCTTCCATTTGACAAAGGAAAAAAACGGCGTCTCATTGACTCATGTGGTCATGAGCGATGTTATTCCTGCATGTTTGATGTGGATAAATGCCCCCTATGTGATAGTGCAGGTATGTAGTTTATATTTATTTCTAATGATAACCTGAGGATGAATAAAATTGTTATCATACAGGTTGATGCTAACAGTGAGCTTGCAAGTTGGATTTAAAAGATGATTGAATTGACACTTTTCTAGAACCTACATATTAAAACCACTGGGCATGTAACTGAGTGGTTAGAATGTTCACTTTCTGATCATGAGAACTGGGTTTGAGTCTCACCATGGTTGATTTGTTAGTAAGGTAACTTTCTTGATGTTATTGGTTTGGGGAGGTGATCCCAGTGTGCAGCACTTGGAAAGTGCCTGTAAACCATACCATGGGTTGACCCAAGCTTTGTGAGTGAAATTGGGTAGACTGAACTATTTGGTAGCCATCAATGTGATCGATGGTTTGAGTGTACTGACCTTGTTCAGACTGTTGATCATGCCAGATAATGTATGAACTCCCCGAAACTGTAACTAAGGTCTGCTCAGTATAATTGCAGTATAAACCACAAGCGCATTCTGTGCCTGTTGAACAAACACAAATGTTTCTGTGCAGGCATCTGCAACAGGGATTGGCTAGCCACCCTAGTATACAGGCATACTCGGCCAGCCATCACATCTTAAACCCAAACTACATTGATTTTTCTGTCATGAGTAACCTTACAACTAAGATACAATGGTTCATGCAGATGTTATTAACTATGGTATGTGCACTACTTTCGTAATGAATGAAGTATATGTTCCACTCAAATGAAATGCTAGTTTAAAGTCAAATTGGCAATACATATAGGAATTTGGGATGCGAAGTAAAAACTCTTTTTTTGTCATGGATCAGCAAATGAAAAGGCAAAACAAATCTGTGTTCTAACATCTTCATATTAATATCTGAAATTAGAAGAAGAATCATAGAATTTTTGAAGACCAGTTAAATAATATTTGTTGGGCAATATTTAACCTTTGAATCCAGATTTATTCATAAATTTATAAAAATGTCTGAAAAAGAAAATTTGAATGAACACAAAATAAGTAACTGAAATTAAAAATGTTGAAAAAATGCATTTTCCAGGCATTTCTTTTATTGCCACATAAATTCACTAAAATATGTTAAGAGCATCTCTTCCTATAAACCAAACATTCTTTTAATTTTAGATGAAACCACAAACACTTGGTATTTTGAGCATATATCTCTCTATTTATTGGGTGGACATATTTATAAAATAGTAAATAATAAATATATTTTTTATTTTTTTAATCATTTCACCCCAACCCAAGCAAAGCAATAAAGCCACTAGGATGCAAGGTGTTACTGAGTGTTAGAAAATATGAGAAAAAACTATTATTAAGGAGAGAGGACAATAAAAGGATAAGAATTAAGACAAGATAACAACTGACATTGCATTTAAATTTTTGAAGATCATTGTAGTTGGTTTGCACATTTTTATAATCTTGTAAATATAATAATCTAACAAGTAAATAATAAGTAACATTTTTGTTATTAAACTTCTAAACATGAACTTTATAAAGCCTTGCCAAGGGAGTATACAGTAATAGCAGCCTCAAGAGAAAAACCATCATTTGACACATTGTTTGTTTTTTTTTTTGTTTTGTTTTTTTTTGGTCTAAAGGTTAAACTGTGCTATCTATTCCTTTATGACTAAAGGTAAATAATGTCAACATTCTGATCATTTCTCTCATTGTATTTTATTTTAGATCAATTTCAGTTTACATATTTTTGCTCAGGTTCTTTTGAGATAATTGGTTGGCTAAAATCTGTGATTTTTACAGTAGATATTCAAATAACACTGATTTGCTTGCACTTTCTTCTTGGATAATTTATGTATTATAAAATGGCTATAACTAATAGTAATGCATTTATGTATTTATTTAAACTTCATATAAGTTTTACAAGGAATTGTAGGGCAATTGTTAATATGCTAGTCTCAAAGCTGTTACATTCTACAAAAGCATGTCTTTGTCCTACAAATATTTACAGTATTGTGTCTTTTCTTCATTATAATGCTATGATCAATTGTAATTTTTTATACCCTACCCTCCTCAAAAGTGAAAATTTAACTTTATTCTATCTCAGTATCTGTTTATCTTTGATAAGACTTGGCAAATTTTCTCTCAAAAACTCTGAATGTCTGAAAATGTGCCATTTCCATTTTGTTGTAAAAATTATAAAGAAGTTTTTCATAATGGTATATAAGGGATTCTTATATTTTTAGAATAGTGAATTTATTATATTTGGATAGAAGTGAAATGAACTTCACTTTTGTTGTTTGGTCATACCAAGTGTCTTAGATGTTTTTTTAAGTCTACATATAGATACTTAACTCCATTTTTTTTTTCTTTTTCAAAATTTACTTATAAAAATTTACAAGATGCATTGGAACTTAAGCAATAAAGTTCTCCAGAGAAAATGCTTAAAATTTAAATCTAAGACAATTTTGTTGACAACAGTGGCAGACTGAATTTAATTCAGCAACAAGACAGGAAAACAAAAAAAAAAAAAAAAAAAAAAAAAACTTAAAGCCATTCCTAACTGGTTAGACTATATTACATGTAAATGCAAATGTTCCCACCAAAGCTTCCAGAGTGAGTGAAGAAATAAATTAGGATCTGTCGCCAGTGAGAATGGTTTGAAATAGTGTTTTGGTTATGGACTCCTTGTAAGAATAGGCACAAATCAATTTTTTAAATAGCTTTTCTAAAAGGAGAAACAAAAAAGTTTTCTCTTTAAATAAATAACTAAATGTTCATAGACTTTATAAGGAATTTCTAAGAATAAATCTTTGTTGAAAAATATATAGATCAAACTGTATGTGATTAATATTGGGAAGTTCAAAATGTTTTTGTTTTTAGATGGCATTAGGAGCATTTAGTTTTTAACTACCTTTATTTAGAAAGATTGCTTTTCATTGCTTGCAACAGTTATATTTTTTTAATTTTAAAACTTGGCATAATTTTGCTTCTAAAATAAAAGATTGGAGAAAATGAACATTTTCAGCATCTCATACTTTTTATTTTAGAAAGAAAAATGTGATTTAAATATAAAAGAATATTTTTAAAGTATATAGAAAAGATACTGTGAATGATAAAATATGTTTGAAATAGAGATTACTCACTAAATGATGCTTCACAATTGGATTTAACAGTTGAGGTTGACAGTGATCAAATCAAAATATAACTAAAAAAATAATCACTGATGCAGTAGATTGTCAGTAGACTGAAAATATCCAAATTAAGTGTTGAAAATCATTTACACTAGCTTGCTTTTGATGTGTGACTTCATTGTGTTAACTTTTTGCTTGGAGGGTGTTATCAGGTAAGCAAAATGAACCAGCATTAACAATACTAAAGTGAATTTTTCATCAAAAGCAGGTAATGTATATGCAGATACATGGTGAGATTGGAGGAGAGTCCTCAAGTATGAGATTCTTCTGGAGAACCAAATGATTGATTCAAACAAGTACAGCTCTCAATTAGACCAGTTAAAATCAGTAAATGACAAAATGCATCAAGAATTATTTTTGAAAAAATATATAATATTCCTTAAAATAAAGCTAAACTGCATGTTTCTTTGGTAACCAGAAAAAACATTGTTATAATTCGGCTGGGAAGTTTTCATTCATCTGTTTTTCTCCAGATATTGCTCTTTTGAATTACCATTTATACAAGTCTTTACATTTCATCTTTCTGGAAGGCCATAAAAGGAATCTCTAGCAGTTCTTTGCTGAGAAAGATAAAACTTTCTGGGAAGATCATATTATAAAATTGCCTGAAGACAGAAAATGATGCATCAAAATGGTAAATATATTGTTCCAAGTTAATACCCCATACCAAAAAATAGTTTTTAATAAACTAAACATTTTCAGTTATCCAATAGTTATACTAGGTTGAAATCTGACTATAGTGGAAATGGCAAAAAGCAACTCTTAGCTTCAGACAAGCAATATTCGGAAGTTACAAATAGTAACTGTTAGAGATAAAATATATGCCAATTATTAATGAAAAGTTGAACAATGTATAATGTATTTAGTAAGAAAGGGTTATTTGTAATTTGTCAAAGAATATAGCAGAATATAGAATATTTTTGTTGAAGTAATCATGTATTATCTGTAACTTTGAGAAGTCATTAAAGTACCCAACATTCTTCAGAAATTCTTTTTTTGTTTATTTGCTGTTGTTAAACTTCCTGTTTCTAATGGATGACATCTGATGAGGATTGAGTAATGGATTGGTTAAAACATTATGTTGACAACAATTACATAAAAAAGTTTGGTTGTCCAAAGAATGTTTGGTATATAATAATATAATTTTTAGTTTTTATTAATTGGAGCCTTGCCAACTATTATTAATTTTTGACTATTAATTTTATTTGCTTTTCATCACAGCTGTTGAGATTGTCAAACCATGGCCATTCATGAATAATGTAGATAAGAAATAAAGAATAGTTCATAGTGAGGTTTGAACCTACATACCTTTGCTTTAGAAAGTCCGGATAACCATACCAGTTGCATTGCCAATTGAACTAAAAGTATTTTACAGTTGACAAAAGACCAAATCTAGCCATTTCAACTTAACCTGTATGCTTCCCAAATTACTTCGTAAAATATTTTTTGTTGTTTTATGGGCAATAGTAATTTTACTCGTAGTAGTAATAGAAGTAGTAGTATCATGGTTTTTATTTTTGATTAGATGAAACATTCACTCATTAATTCTTTACTGGTGATGGCCAATTAGAATAGATGTAATGAAAAGCATCTATGATGAAAGAAATACACATCAAGAATGAATAATGATATTTGAGGAAACTTTCCACATTTTAGTGTAGAATACCATCAAGGGTAATGGTTTTGACTTTGATGCTGAGTGCATTAGGTCAGATTCTTTGTTAGTTTCATGAAATTTGTTTTATATGCTTCATTACTCTTATTTGTTTCAATGTTACCCTTAAAATAGGATTAATCTATAAAGTATTTTATAAATTAAGGATTTTTTTTACCCAAAACTCAACAATCT